GTTAGTCTGTTTGCTATGAACTCATAGCAATTCGTGAATTATATCAACTTATGTGATTTTAATTTTATAGAGTGATAAATTCACATTTTATATATCTATATCTATATATATATATATATTATATAAATATTCGTATCGATTATAGTTTTATGTATATTACGGTCTCCGGGTAGGTTAGGTTACCTAATGTGGCTACAGTTTGATGGGTTTAGAAAGGTTCGAATACCTGACGACAACGAAGCAATGATGTCCGAGACACGTTCAGACGACGTCAGTAGTGAGTGCGGTGTAAGGTGTTTTTCATTAATAAACGCTGAGGGTATTTTCAGGATTAACGATCATTGGTCAATGTTGTAAGGGGTTATCTTGAGGTTATCCTGAGATGATTTCGGGGCTTTAGTGTCCCCGCGGCCCGGTCCTCGACCAGGCCTCCACCCCCAGGAAGCAGCCCGTGACAGCTGACTAACACCCAGGTACCTATTTTACTGCTAGGTAACAGGGGCATAGGGTGAAAGAAACTCTGCCCATTGTTTCTCGCCGGCGCCCGGGATCGAACCCGGGACCACAGGATCACAAGTCCAGCGTGCTGTCCGCTCGCCGACGGTGGGCTGAGGCTGTGACGATGGCCTATGTTATTTACGAAGCAGCATCGAAGCACCGAACGTTGAGAGTGAGTGAAGCACTTATCGAGAAGAGCTTCAAACGCAGTTACTGAATCAAAACAATCATCGCTAAAAGCGGGGCCTCCCCGTGGGACATATATATATACACACTGAAAATTGTAACCCACTTCTCGTTGCATTAAAACTAAGAGCTGACTTTAGCTCTTGGACCCGACTCCAAACCATTCCAAACCTCCAAACCAGGAATGGTTTGGAGGGAAGTCTATGACCTTCCCACGGTCTAAAAGGGAAAAAAAGCTATGCCTAGTCTGAATTAATTCCCTTCAACAATGTCCACTGCAGACACAGACAAACAAACGTTCGCACTTACTGACCCCGAGATGGGGAGAGACGGCGTGGCCACAGGGCAAGGTGGCCAGCATCGTAGAGCACCGCCGCGCCCTGTCTTCTTCCAATTATATTTCCTACCTGTTTTTCACAATACAAGTGACTGCTCGCACTACCTCAGCTCCATATATATATATATATATATATATATATATATATATATATATATATATATATATATATATATATATATATATATATATATATATATAATGTTACCTCAGCTGGTTAAATGCTTTAAAACATAGACACAAACCTACCGGAGAGAGAGAGAGAGAGAGAGAGAGAGAGAGAGAGAGAGAGAGAGAGAGAGAGAGAGAGAGAGAGAGAGAGAGAGAGAGAGAGAGAGAGAGGAACACAACTAGGGAGACAAAGAGCCGGATATAAAACTAGCAAAAGGGTGCATGGTTGTGGCCGCCAGCAGGAGGTGTGGTGGGCCCGGAGGCGGGAACTTTAGTGGGTGACAAGCGGGAGCGGCCCGCCTGCGGGACCTGGCCCCACATCCTCGCCTCGAATCATTTCCTTCTCCGTATTCATCTCTCTCCTCAGTCCCCCACGTCTACTCAAATACTGGTGTAGAGTAGATCTACAACAGCCTGAGGCCGATTTATCTCCCTCCCTTGGCACTGGTCTGTTGCAAGAGGCACTCATTGGCAGCGGAAGGCACGCAACAGGTACTTCCTTCCTCTGGAGTTCCTTGAGTCGTGTTCCGGGCAGGTAACACATGCATCGACAGACAGTGCGAGAGATAGAATAGTTACTTGGAAGAGATGTGAGGATAAGGCTCTGAGATGCGAAGATGTGGAGAAGAAACTGTGCCCAACCACTTGGATCACCGGGGGATCGAACGCGGATTAGTGCAAGTGATTGATGGGACATTGTGTGTGTGTGCTGATGTTTGTGGAGGGGGGGGGGTTGATCCTGTTGCAGTGAGTCCCTAGTGGAAGTTGATCCACCACTCTTGCACTCTCCTTGTATTCTCTGCCTCAGTGTCGGTTATTATTGGTTTCCTGTGCGTGTTCTCTCTCCTTCCTCTGTGTCTCACGGGCTCACCATAGCCCGTGCTGCTTGGAACTTTTTGTTCCAAGTAGCGAATCTTAACCAACCAACCAACCTGTGTGTGTCTGCCTTCTCATTCTCAGGCTGTGGAGGAGCCAAGTTTTACCTCAGGCTGTAAATATATGTAAATGTAAATATATGATTTTTAGTGTAAAAAGAAAACGAAATCACTATTATTTACGGAAATTTGTATTGGGTGTGCGCGAGTGTGTGACTATGGGCGTGGGGCGCCGGCGGCCCAGCCCCTCATGTTGTCTTCAGCTGCTGTTTGGGTAAAATTATCAGGAGTGTTAGTGGAGCATTCCCAGCTACGGAGGTTACCTTGGAGCGTTCCCAGCCACGGAGGTTACCTTGGAGCGTTCCCAGCCACGGAGAGTACCTTGGAGCGTTCCCAGCCACGGAGAGTACCTTGGAGCGTTCCCAGCCACGGAGAGTACCTTGGAGCGTTCCCAGCCACGGAGAGTACCTTGGAGCGTTCCCAGCCACGGAGAGTACCTTGGAGCGTTCCCAGCCACGGAGAGTACCTTGGAGCGTTCCCAGCCACGGAGAGTACCTTGGAGCGTTCCCAGCCACGGAGAGTACCTTGGAGCGTTCCCAGCCACGGAGAGTACCTTGGAGCGTTCCCAGCCACGGAGAGTACCTTGGAGCGTTCCCAGCCACGGAGAGTACCTTGGAGCATTATTACCGCGAGGGAGCATCACACAGTTTACTCTCCTAAACTTACCCACGACACACGCTCCATGTTCCTGCCTATATATGCTCCTCCTCTTCCTGCTATCCTGCTTGCTATCTTGTCTTCATGTCTGTCTTTCCTCTCACTAGGTAGTCTTCCCCTCTGGAGGCCTCAGGCTCTTGTCTTGCTATCAACCTAATGAGGCCTTTTGCCTCCTACCTCCACCTCAGCGCCTTCCTCTGGTCGGCCTCCAGGGGCTCCAGTGGCCTCTGGCGGTCTCCAGTGGTCTCCAGCCGGCTTCGAGGTGTTTGGAAAACAAAGGAATTGTCAGCTTGGGGTTCCCCTCAGCCTAGAGGGGGTGTTCCCCTTAGCCGTTAGGGGACGGAGTGTGTTCCTCTACAGGGAGAGAAGGGGATTGTTCACCCTCAGCAGTGACGGGAAGGGGGTGGTCGCCTCAGCAGTTAGGGGAAGGGGGTGGTCGCCTCAGCAGTGAGGGGAAGGGGGTGGTCGCCTCAGCAGTGAGGGGAAGGGGGTGGTCGCCTCAGCAGTGAGGGGAAGGGGGTGGTCGCCTCAGCAGTGAGGGGAAGGGGGTGGTCGCCTCAGCAGTGAGGGGAAGGGGGTGGTCGCCTCAGCAGTGAGGGGAAGGGGGTGGTCGCCTCAGCAGTGATAAAAGGGGTGTTCCCTTCAGGAGGAAGGAGGGAGGAGGTGTTCCTCTTAGGATAGACGGGAGGTGGTGGTTCCCTCTCTCAGGAGTGAAGAGGGGGGGGGGGTGTTCTCTTCCTTCAGAAGGGAAGGGGGTGTTGTTCCCTCCCTCAGGATGGCAGGGGGTGTTCCCTTCCTTTAGGGGGGAAGGGGGAGCTAATCAAGAGAGCGTCCAGGGCCAGCGTGGCACATTCATCCGTATTAGTGTCGTCTCCGCGTCACCTGCCCCTCACCCCCCTCCCTCACCCCTCCCACCCCCTCTCTCCTCCCCCCCACTTCATCCCCCCCCTCCAACTCCATCTAACCTCTTTCTTTTCTTTCCCAACAGCATCATTTCCCCATGTTCCTTCACCTTTCTCTTGCATCTTATGTCCTCATTATTTCTCTCCTCTCTGACTTCGTTCCTCCTTCACCAATTCTCCCTAGTTCGTCTCTTGCCTCTCGTCCTCCCTCCTGTTCCTCCTCATCTTCTTCAGTCCTTATCCTCCTCCCAGTTCTCTTCTGGTCCAAGAACCTGTCTCTCTATCTCCTGTCCCCCTGTCTATCAGTTCTCCCCGTCTCTGTCTGTCTCTCAGTTCGTCAGCAATTCAAGAGCACCCTAAAGATTACCAACAGTCTACCTCATGTATAGCCCAACATTAGGACCTTCTCCTCCTCTTTCTTTATCTCCTTCCTTTATTTATAAATACCAGGTACTCAGGTACGGTAAAAATGAGGATCTTAAAAATAATACAGGGTACAAAACACAATCAAATGTGCCCATGGTAGGAACGCAGCATGTAAAGGATTTGGGAATAATAATGTCTGACGACCTAACGTTTAGGGAGCATAACTAAGCAAATATTGCGACAGCCAGAAAAATGATAGGATGGATTACGAGAACTTTCAAATCCAGGGATCCCATCACAATGGTTGTACTCTTCAAATTACTTGTACTGTCTCGTCTTGAGTACTGCTCAGTACTAACTTCCCCCTTCAGAGCTGGAGAGATTGCTGAAATAGAGGGAATACAGAGAACATATACAGCACGCATAGACGAGATAAAGCACTTAAATTATTGGGATCGTCTCAAAGCTCTCCAAATGTATTCTCTAGAAAGGAGACTACAGATATATTAAATAATATGCACATGGAAAATACTGGAGGGCCAGTTCCCAAATCTACACAGTAAAATAACAACGTACTGGAGTGAACGATATGGAAGAAAATGCAGAATAGAACCAGTGAAGAGCAGAGGTGCCATAGGCACAATCAGAGAACACTGTATAAACATTAGAGGTCCGCGGTTGTTCAACGTCCACTCTCAGCGAGTATAAGAAATATTGCCGGAACAATCGTGAACATCTTCAAGAGAAAACTAGATACTTTTCTCCAAGAAGTGCTGGACCAACCGGGCTCTAGTGGGTATGTTTCCACGCGGGCTGCTCCAAGCAACAGCCTGGTGGACCAAGTTCTCACAAGTCAAGCCTGGCCTCGGGCCGGGCTTGAGAAGTAGAAGAACTCCCAGAACCCCATCAAGCAGGTATCAACCCTCGCCTCCACCTCATCTCAAAGTT